ATCCACATAGTCATGAAATAGGATGTCTAGCAATTATCTGCCTGCATCAATGCAGTCCACAGGCTGCCTGTAAATCCCAGATGCTCTTATGGCATGTAACGTCAAGACCCTCAGTTAATTTGTATGCCTACTATCAGACACAGGGTGGCACTTGAAGGGCAGACAGGAAAGCAGACCACACCAGTGGTCTGGCTGGGCCCCAAAGAACATGAAGTCTGCTCAGACGTGCTACTTTCTTCTGTAACAGGATTCAAAGCACACACAAGTCTACACATTCTGCTTGCATCCAAACAGCTTTACCATGAGAAAACTGTGGGCTCTGATGCACATATATCAAATTATAGAGAAAACGCTAGCTACATTCTGTGTCTCAGAATAGCTGATAACTGGTTATTCTGTCTGTAAAGTGGAAATGGAAGTATTCTGACAAAACTTTAGGGAAATTCCCCTAATACCTATTTCTTGAAACAAAGATCTTTATTTCTTGTTTAATTCTTGAAACATTCACTAACTATTAACACACATGCAATAAGGTTGCTTCTTGTCATTGTGGTTTCAAGACTAAGACAGGCTGTCAAACTGAAATGGAGATGCTGTAAAACTGTTTCATACCTCCTCCACAAGTTTGCCAAAACTTTCCTAATGAAAGAATTAGTCTAAAAAGAAATGCACAGAAGTGAAGATGACGATTTGTGTTCAGTTATATTTGATGTTAATTCATCGTCAAATTACAAGCAGTTGGCTAACATTTAAAACTATTATTTCTTACTATAGTATTTCATGTCTATTATTTCATACAAGTCTCTTTAATCTGGGAATTAATTACGGTTTTATTATTTTTCCATTTGAATCTATTGAATTTCAGTGAATGTAACTGCAAAAGCTGGGCGTTGTCATGGTGAGAAACATGTCATATTATGGCTGAACATTTCAAATTTTTTTATAAATTAATTAAATATCTCTTCTAAAGCAGTTCATTATATTCAAATATTATTGGCAGATTTATATAGCCACCCCAAAACAAAATTAGCAAGCATTTACCCATTTTGAGTGGTGTTCTTGACAAAATTTTCACAATTTCTGAACTCTACTCCTCCCTTAATTGGAAAGTCAAGAACACAGTGCATATTACATATTTTGCATATGAAAATGCATCACGCAGAATTAATAGCCACTTTATAAATGTTTCCCAATTATCTTAAGAAAACAATCATTATAAAGTATTAGCAGTTTCATAAATAACAAAAATCCTCTGCTAATTCTAAACCACCATATTTTTATAACACATTTCACACCTTTTTTTTCCAGAATGTTTTTCATATCGCAAGTCTGAACAATATTTCACAACCTGGTACTCTTTAAAATAAGACATGCATATCTATAATTAACCATTATTTTAACATTGTTTTCACCAGTTACCTGTTTTCAGATATAGTCAAATTACGACTTGCAGAAGTAACAGCTGCACTGGCAGGCAGTGGAGAAGAATTTGAAACAAAATAATCCCACATTGGTGAAAATGATTCTCTGGCTAATGTATAGTTGCCAGTCTGATAGGCTACCTACAAAAAAAAAAAAAAAAAAAAAAAAAAAAAAACCAAAAAAAAACAAACCCCCCCCCCCCAAATAACAGCAACAACAACAAATTTTAGCAAGTTTCCATGCTCATCAAATAACCAAGCCAAGGCTATTTGCTTTTCATAAAGGTTTTCAAACTCCTCCCCAACATGTAAATTTACAATTTCTGTAAGAATATTCTGACCTGTTTGAATAAAACATATGTAGTAGCAATCTGTTTCTACTAATACTAGTTTGCCTTCAGAATTAGCATCAGAGAAGGCAAAAGACGTTCTTGACTCTTAACCAAGGATCTAACTGCCCTTTGTGGAACACTTTACAGGTATTGTGCTGCAGTTTTTGAAGGCATATTATTTCATGTATGTTCATTTTACTTTTGCTAATACTGCAGAATGCCCTGCTGCTCTGGATAATGGGATGTAAACAGACTGGCACAAGTAGGCATAAAATCATGTGGATATCTCTTATTTTGGAAGATTTTAGGAAATCTTCAAACTGTTCCCCGTGATCTGATCTATAGGGCTAGACAATTTCACTTTTCTCCATGCCTCAACCTGTTTTAAATTTTCTTTATTAAGAATACAGGAAATTATGATAAAGGTCTGACAGAGCCATTGTGGTCTTCCACAAGACACCAAAAATAAATTCAGTATGAAAATGGTTGGATTTGAAACCTGGTAAATTCAATCACATTTTTCATCCCATATTGTAATGACTAGTAAGATGATTTCTAGCATTTGGCCTCAATCACAAAAATCAAATAACAAATTATAAAAAAAGAAGTAAGTTAAACGCAGACTGAAAAACAGGAACAGGGATAAAAAAATTAGCTGAAAGACATCTTTCCCCTTCACTGGAATTTCCTATAATGTTGATTCAAGAACTGAGTTACTCGAATATACTATGTGTTATGATAAATTGTGATTTGTGCTTATCAAGCTTTTGGCAAGAAAGTCTTGAGTTTTTACCAGAAGAAGTTTTAGAGCTACCAGTGAAAACAAGAAATTACAACCAAATTATAGTATGTGTTTATTATCGAAGACTCTAATCCTACCTGAGTTAGATAGGCTCGAACAGTAGTAGTAGAAAGAGGTGGATAAGCAAGGATGGGTTTAGTCGTTTCCCCAATGGCGTCACCAATAAGTTTTCCAGCAGAAGAATATGCTGCAACTGCAAATATGTATTTCTCATTGGGATCTAAGCCATGTATTTCCAAGAGGCTTTTCCCATCAGCTGGTATCTATCAATAAAAGTATTTTCTAATTATACCCACTGTACACATCAAAACCAAATTTCAAATTCTAAACTTTTATTCTTAAATAAATTATTTAATGATCTTGGATACAGTCAAAGTACAACCTAGATTAACAGACATGTCATGTTTCCACGTAATATTAGGTTCTTGAAGGCAATGAGAAAACAACGAAATGACAGGGGAAAAAGGTATCAGTTTTCTCTTGAATGCAGTTGAGAATACAGAGCACATAACCTAAGAGAACAGTTAAGTACCAGGACCTGGAGTTTCTCTAAGATGTTTTTGTCCATTTGCACATTCACATCGTGAGTGTGCATATCTGCAGTCATTTAACTAGAAACATTCTAGCCCTGAGCTGTGCTTCCAGAGAAGGAGCATATGATTCTCCTCCATACAGGCCACATGCATGTACTAGGTATGGGCAGAGGATGTCTCAGGTCCTCTCAGCACCATTAACAGGACTTCAGAGTTTGTGAAACAACATATTTTCAAGATGTTCTCTTCATCTTCCCTTCAAGTAGTCATCCACCTGCACTTTAACATCACAGCTTACTCCTAACAGGTTTTTCCATCTTCCCCTCCATAACCAGGACAACTGACACAAAGTAAAGTTTTAGGGTCTCAAAACAGCAAACAACTCAGTGACCAAAGCACAACAAGAGAAATGAGATCATCATAATGTAGCATCAACACAGTGCTCTCATTCAAATACCGTCTGGCCTTCATAAGGGGACCTCTGAACAACAGAAATCTTTTCAACCAGCAGACCATAAATTAGTGTGAGACAGTCAGTAGTACCCCTTTCGAGCAAGCTTTTCACATGTTAGTAAGTTGGTAGATCATTCCACCACCAAGAATTCTAAATCTTTTCCATGGAGCAGGCAGACAGAGATGTTGTCTGCAGATCAGCATTTTGCAAAAGCATATCCTAAAGCAAACAGAAGTTCCATTGATGAGGCACATGGTTAACCTCAGGTCTGTGCATCTCTAGTGCCTGCCAGAGCTAAGGCAGGCAGTGGCTTGAGTGGATTGCAGCAAGTTCACAGAAAGAACAGCTAGCAGTGGGGTGAAAGTCTCCAGTGAAACACTTAATTCACCTGGAGCAGAATAGTGTATTGAAACTAGCTCACTGGACATTGCCTGAAGATTGATTCACTGGATTTGATAATAAGAATATCAAGAATAACATCGAAGCCTCTATTGCCAGTAGCTACACACATGTCTTTTTATACACCTTGCTTTTTGGTGGGTTAGGGGGAAAAGACGCAAAGGGATAGATTTCCTCTCCATCACCAAAGACAGGTCTATCACTGTTAGTATACAGCTTGCTCACAAAACCAGGAAAGCTTCAAACATTGGGCAAAAGAGGTTGGGATCATTCTTCTGCCCCAATGCAAAACAGAGACCTGCCCTGCAAAGAACAGAACTCTTCATGAAGACTTCCGGATACAAAAATGATCACTCAGGTCTGAGACTACAGTACATTTTGCTGAAGAGGATGTGCTGAAACTTCTTTGCCCCTTTCTTAAAACCCAAAATGTGGTTTGGATGGATCACAGTCATCATTCAGGTGGACAATGCAATAGCATGCATAAGCAAGTGAAAACCAGGACTCTCAGTCTGTGCAGGAATATCAGAGTGTTATCCAAAGGAAAACACTACACTAATACTACACAAAACAAAACAAAACAAAACAAAACAAAAAAACAAATTCCGAAAATAAAATGTCAAATTGTAATGAAGAAATAATGTAAAAGAGTACTGACAATGTCACATGATCAGTCATAAGTAATCAAAGATGTGTGGGATGATTTGTCATACCACATGTTCACAGTATTAAAGGGAAACATAGAAATCTATCATGTCTGAACATGAAGGTTACTGAAAGAGTTATATTATCATGTTGCCAGAATCAAGTAAGGTAAGGTCTTGGATACAATCCTATTAAGAAGAAACAGCTGATAAAAGTTACACAACTAAGAAAAACATTAAATTTTATATCTGCTTAGAATTTCTCTTTTTGTAAATCCCTGGAAAGAGTAACGTCTGGGGCACACTTAAGTACATTATATACTTTCTTTTTCTTTTGCATTTCTTAGATGTCGCTCAAAAAAAATGGAGTTATAACAGAAGGGAGAGAGACTATAGTCTAACATTAAGCTTTTGAATCACTTAATTCATTAGTCAAAAAAGGTTCCTAGAACTTTTGGGGGGTTTTGGTATGCCTTCAGCCTAGAAAAATTTCAATTGCTTAAAATAAAGATCAAAAGATTTGTCAAAGGCTTGGCCAGTTACCTGATTAAAAAAAAAATATGTCAGATGTATACATGTAGAAAGTTGGGGAAGAGAGAATGACCTAAAGGAGTTTTACCTCTGTCTTACCTCTTCTCCTGTATTTGGAAGTTTATTGTTATTTAACCTTACTTTCATATTACTTCCTCCTGCTACAGAGCCCAAAATAGTGTACCACGAAACCTTTGAAGAAAACAAGAACAAAATTATTTGATACATAATAGTATTTCCAACTTTAGCCTAATGTAGTTGTGACAACAGCCTCTGAAAAAAAACTTAGTTATAAAAATGCATAGTCGAACTGCATTAGAAAGATTAATTAATTGATTTAGCTAGAGAACTAGGTATACTACAATGGCAATAGAAGCAGATGACTCTCCATAGTCCTATCTCCTACCTTGAGCTACACTATAACTCAAACCTATCCCAAAGCATAAACTCTATAAGTCATCCTGTAGATTTAAAGTCCACTAGATCCCATTATTTTATCCTTGCAATGGTATTCTTCTAAAGTTGACATCAGGTTCTGATTCAGCAAACTACTTGAGGACAGACCCTTCAAAGCAGGCAACAGAAATGCGAATATGAAGTAACTCAGTAATATTTTCTAAACAAGCCATGTTCTTAGTTCCTATTGAAATAATTTGGGTTTTAACGCCACCGAGCTGCGGATAATCTCATTGGCACATCATCTACACTTTTCAATTTCTTTAACCAAGGAACACGAGCATGCATTCCTGAATCAGTGCTCAGTCGAGTTCAGTAGGTCAAACACAGACACTAATTTTGATTTCATCTCTGCAGAACTTGGCAGATGGATTTCAGTAAGGCATGCATCTGATGAAATTAAATTGTTACTAAACTTCTTGCACTAAGCTTCTACTAAAATTTGCAATAAGTTTACTTACTTTGAGTAAACATTTAAACAGACCTGAGGTTTGGCAGATGAGGTCATTTTTCAACATATAAAAATCCTATACAGCTAAAAATGTTCATTCTTCTTGTAAGACACATGATTTGTCTTGCAATCAATCCTGACTGTTTTTCAGAAGGAAATATTGAAATAGAGATCATTTTCAGCAAATGAGCAATTTTAAGATCATGAAACTTTAGAGATGCTTTAGCTTCCAGTACAAGAACTATATGCATCTAATTAAATCCTAAGTATCCATTTCCAGTTAATAAGTTCTTAATAAAAAATACCTTTCATGTCCACTCAACAGCCTGTGTATCTTTAGAAAAAAAATTCTTCTGGAATAGCCGCACTGTTTCTAAGATTACTAATCACATTCCGCCATCTAGTGGCCGAGTATGTTACACTCACTCTCCTGTATCACAGGCGAACAAAATGAATTATTAACATTTACTAGAAGAGATGAACTACCAGACTTTAAAGAATTATTTTTTCCTTTTTTATGTTCATTAGTGATAAAAAGGAATAACTTTTCCCTAATTAATTTCTTTGAAATTCACTAATCAAACTGCAATAAAACTGCAAGTTATAAAACAACTGTTCACAGAAACACCCTTACAACTATTACCAAGATTTGAGTTTCTACTGGTTTTATACACATCCTACTGCTGAAGCAGCTTGCAAAATCACTATGAAAATTCCTCTCTCAAGAAAATGGCAGCTAGTGAATTTTTCATACTTCAGCCTGTTTGAACCCTTTCTGGACATACGAAGGAGAGTAAGCTGATTTACCAAGGGCAAATCATGGCTGATCACCACTCTGTCACAAAATTACTTGATTTGCAGAGGAGGGAAGAGTTACTGTTTACCTTGACCTTAGCAAGGCACTTTTTTCAACACTATCTCCCAGTATTCTTATGTGCAAGTTAGGATGATACAGCTTGGGGGCATGAACAGATAAATGGGTAAAGAAATGGTTGGAAGGTCAGACTCAGACAGTAGTTGTTAACAGTTTGTACTCTACCTGGAGGTGGTAACAAGTGGAGCACTGCAGGGGACTATACTGGGACCTGTCCTGTTTAATATCTTTAGCAATGACCTGAGGCAAAAAGTGAGCACACAGTCACCAGGTTTGCAGATGATGTCAAATTGAGG